TGTGTGTGTGTGTGTGTGTGTGTCAAAGGAATGGCTGGAGTCGTCTGATGTTTCTCTCCTGATGATCGATCAGTGCATGTGACTTTCTTTCTAGATCTTCTTTAGTCACTGTGAATTTAATGAATGAGTAACCATTGATCACATCACTGATTGTGAGTAGAGTAGTAGTGTCTAGATCTGATGTTAAATTTCTCTCTGTTCCTGTTCTATGATAAATTCTCTCTCTCTTTCTTTGATCATAGGGTTTCACTTTAAAAGAAAATAAATGAGATCAGGGGAAACTCAGCACTCACCAGTATCTCCTTTATAACAGAAGTAAGTCCAGAGACAGCACAGAGAATTCGAAAGGAAAGTGTGATGACAAATGTGGGGAAATCCCACCGTTTATTTGTTTTGCGTAAAATTACTGAGCTTTTTGTCTTGAGAAGTGATATCTCAGTCTGAAGGCATAGGGGTTCAAAGTGAAACTAAAAACATTTTCATGTCCACATACAGTACCTGTATGAGGATAAAGCACCATGTTCTAACAGGTCAATGAGGTCCGGAATGACTGTGGGAATACTACACTTTCATATTCAGTCTGTTCTCAAATTCCTTTGACATTAAATTTCGTGTGTATACTTTAACCAGTCTGGGAAAATGAAAGGTCTCAAACAAAACAGAAAACAAGTGAGTTGTTGTGACACTGCAAAGTACAGCGAGTGAAACTAAAAGTATTTCTCTCGGTCTGTGTGGGAGGGCTGTGGGTGTCCTCAGGGGGCTTTCTTGATTCGGGGGGGTCGGGTTCTGATCCCTCTGTGGTTTTGTGCAGCTCATGTGACGTGCTTTTGGCAAAGTGGAAATGTTTGACTTTGCTCTTTCTTGCCCACATTAACAAGTGTGACATTGTCTTTTAATCTGTTGGATTTTCCCACTGTTAAACTGCATGGTAATATTCACATCTCACTGCAGACTCACCTGTTTCATACTCACACGTTAAATTACTATTTAAGTTTATTGTGGTTTTCACTGTTAAAACAACTTGAGGAACTTGGAGGTTCTTGAATTTGGAGGTTATCTGCCATGATAGTTTAAAGAGAAGGAGGCTTTTACAGAGCAAAAGGTTTTTGAATTTGTAATTGTTTTTCCAGAGAATAATTAATGGATCTTGATGGAAAAAATCGGACGTTTAGGAATGTGCGTTACGAGTGTGTCAAATTTGGGTCAGATCCAAATAAAAATCTGGTGCTAGCGAATTCCAGTCTATTTAAAATGAGACATAAAAAGCGCTATGATAAGCAAAAAATTAATTGCACTGCATAAACATGCCGGACTCACAAGCTTAAAGCTCCAGTCTTTAACATTTATGTTTCTGAGCAGCAGTTGGACCTTGGCAGAGATATGCGCTCTGAGTGACACACTAGTTGTGATTTTTATGTCATAGTTTTTATTTACTATCTCATAATTATGACTTTTTAGCTCATAATTGTTATTTGTCTCATTATTATTAATTATTATTATTACTTTATATCTCACAGTTGTGACTTATATCTCATTTTATCTGATTTATTTTACATTCATGACTTAGTATAGTAATAGAACACTTTTACTCATCTACACAAAAAAGTAATATTTAATGGATATTAATTAATTATTTAATAATGTCAAAACAGGTATTCTGAATCATAGACATTATTAGATTTGCCAGACTTGTAGACTCCACAGATTCTTCGTCTGATGCAGTCTTTGGTTTATTTTCTTCCTGGGGTCTTTTAGTACAAGTGGTTTCAGATGATCAACACACATCAAACCCAAACTGCAGAGTGAAGCAGGGATTGGTGCGCGCTCCTGTCGCTGTAAAGGGAGCGCGCTCGCCGCATTTAAAGCTGTCACATCTCCTGCGTCATTACTACACGCTGCCTGTCTGAGTGGAGTTTACATTCAGGGCACGGAGCGACAACACACACTTACACACACACACACACACACACACACACACACACTCTGCAGGAGCACAGCGCCATGGCGTCTGCCAGTGTAGTGGGGCAGCACCCGGGTCAGCACCGGCTGGACTCGGACCCGCCGCTCTTTGTCTTCAAACTGACCGGCGTCAGGAAGAAGATCACCCCGCCGAGGAAACCGTCTCGGGAGAAGCTGATGTTCAGGAGGAGGTCGGGCAGCGGCGGGGAGAGCGGGTCTGTCCCCGGTGTGGAGGGAGCGGGAAGTCAAGCGGGAGAAGCGCCGCTGAGGGGAGGAATGATGCCCGGGGAAGGAGACGGAGCTGCGCCACGTAGCCCGGACCAGGAGGGCAGCGGAGGCTGCGACAGGCGCGGGGCCCGGGACAGTCCAACACGGATCATCACCGCCGCTGACCGCAACCTACACTGTGTCACCGGTAACAATAATAATAACACCGGTGGTCGCAGGGGGACTTCTCTCAAGAGGTCCGGCATCACTGTCATGCACAGCGATGTCAGCTGCCGGCACCGAGACCGGGAGACTTGGAACGGAGACGGAGGGCATGAGAGCAACTCCTCGTCCGTGGCAGCGTCGGGACACAACGGAGGTCCTCCGCTGGAGCGGCTCACTCAGGCCCGGAGCGGAGTGGTGAGACTGGCCCGCCTCGAGCCTTCCCGCAGGCAGGCCTGGTCCATCTTCCCCCAGGGGCTGGACCCCCGGGTGAGGACCGAGAGGGGTGAAGGACATCGGTTCGAGTCTAAGCCCGTAACGCAGGACTGGTGTGACGCCTGTAGTCATAAGATCACAGCTCAGGCACTCAAATGTCAAAGTAAGTCACAGTCCTCCAACGTGTTTCTCTGTATTGATCAGAGGATAAGAGTTGTTTTCATGAGTCATCTGTTGGCTGTGTCATCTGTCATCCGTGCACATCAATACCACTAGTTCCCTTGTGGGATGTAGAGGACGGGCTGTTTTGGTGAACAAATGCTCTTTTCTGGTACTTCTGTCTGGATAGTTTTGTGAGAAGTACAAGTTGCTCACTGCTTAAAAAATGAGCATGTGCCTTTGTGAGTGAGACAGAGGACATTTCCAAGCATTTTGCTCCACAGCCACAGCCAGACATCTTCAATGGAAAGCTCATTATCTTGTCCTTCCAGCTTTGCCTCCCAGAGGTCCCTCTCTGTGATTTGCAGCCTCTGCTCAAAGAGCCTGGGACCGATAGGATAATTCACAGTGACACAGTGGTGAAATCCAGAAATACGATGGACTGGTCTCTATAAGCTCACACTTGAATTGTGAGTGTGCTTGAGATCATATCCCTTAGTGTCTTGAAATGATGAGAACATGAGAGCAAAGCATTTGTCATAGGAGTCTTATAGATTACTAATTAGGGACACTATAGAGAAAAGCATTGTTTCTAATAGAATGTCATCCAAAATGTTTTCCATTCATTGTGTGTGATATCTCTGGAGTCACATCCTGACTCTACTGACTTTATAGCTCTTTCTGTACGACTGAGAGCTGATCAGGCTCAGGATGACATAAATCCCACCTGCACAGCCCTGGCACACACAGTTTAGGCCAAGCCAATTTGACCTGGCAGGTGTGTTTAATCATGTTTAAATATACACGTGTACACACACACTACACACACACACATTTAAAAAAACCCTGAGCTCATCCTTTGTGTGGGACTTCTCTGTGCAGATACTGTAAATCTGAGAGTCCGTGAGAACACGCAGCTGCTGAGTTTGCATCGTGTCAGCAGCGCTCTGTCATGGGGGGGTCGTAGAGCTCTGTGAGATAAAGGAACGTGAGGAAAAAAGTGAGGAACGAAAGTGAAACATCAAGACAAAGATGAACCAAACCAAGGGGATATTTATCGAGAATGTCAAATGATGACAAGTAGTTGGAAGCAGGGATGACAAAAAAGTAGAAAGAGAGCCTGAGAAGAGGTGGAGGGAGGCAGGGTGATAAAAATGAGGAAAGACAGAGAGACAGAAGGGGAGCAGTGGGGAGGAAAGAGCCAATGTGAGTGAGGGACATGGGAAAAAGAGTGAGAGTTGGTCCAGCACTGCAGAGATGTCTGATTTAGTGTGCTATCAGCAAGCGCTCAGTGGAGCGAGAGCAGAGATTGCTGGAGCACACACACACACACAAATCCACAGTCATGAGATTCTTCATAAACCGAGAACCCCTTCAGTAGACTCTGTGTGGATTGGGCTAATTAACTGTAGTGTTTTGTACCAGCAGCGGTCCTGTGCAGAGCCAACTCTCGTTCCTGCTCCCTTTTCTGGGAAAACATCAAAAGTGATTGTGGGGGGGTCACCAGGACAAATGTGACAAGCAATACAGATTTAGGCATTTTGGGGTATTTTCGTGGGGAGAATTGCAACCAGCACTGCCAAAATAGAAACTGAGCACACATGCACACATGCTCTCCTTTCAACTACACCCAGCAAATGACAGGGAGCGAGAGACGGAGGCCACGCAACCCTAAGCAACCATCATTTTGTCTCTTTGTCTGACTGTATGCCTAGCTCCGTCTGTCTGTCTGTCTTTAATTTATCACCCTCTCTCTATCCATGCTAGCTTTATTGCATCTGAATCTCATAGAAGCAGCCATGCAGCCCCCCCCCCCCACCTCCCCCGGGACAGTGGAGAACTTGCAGTGACTGCAGTGATGTGGCCTTGCCCTGCAGTGGAATCTGTAGCCAGAGCTCATAGTCTGCTGCTCTGTTGTCGTTATAGAGCAGTGAATTGATTCCTACTGCTGGCGTTCACCCATGTGTGCTCAATTTTTTTAATCTCTATTGCTCCTCTAGGGAGTTAGATTGGAGTTTGATTTGTAGTACTACTAGCTATAAAGAAACCCCCACTCTATATGCATAAAACACTAAACACTTACTTATGATAGTTGAGCTGTATATGTAGCATCTCTTCACAATGAGGCATATAACATTGACTGTATAAGGATGGATGACATCATGACAACTCCCCAAAGTGAAGCTAAAGCATCTCTATCACCCCCTGGTGGCTGGCTGCAAGATAGTTCATAAATCCCCTCCATGTTAGTGGATGTAACATTGACCAAACTATAAAGTCAAAGTGCGTGTTAAATAAGTTTTTGTCAGTTTAGGTCCTTCTTATCACACTGATGTATGTTTAAGGTTTTTGATGCTATAAAAAAACGGGTTGAAACATAATGATTGACGGCTGAGTGTGACTCACATTGGTCAAGCACGTGTATCGTGAGACCTCACTTCCGCGGCTCCATCCCACAATTGCAGCTGCATGGATTAGTGGAGGAAGAAGTGGAGATGATTCTTCCATCTTTCTGTGACAGTGTAGCCATATCTGAGCTCTGTATACCTAATCTGACTCATTTAGGGAATTAACTCCCCTATATGGCCCTCCTGTGTACAGAAAAACATATCCAGATAAATACACATACAGTACATGAGAAAGAATATAATATGATGATAAAGTTGAAATAATTGAATGTATCTATTATTAAAATATGATGATATAAAAAATACTAAACTGTGCAGGGAGGTGTGTCACAGTAGTATAGGTCTGTGTAGTGATTGTTGTTTATCACTCTTGTCATGATTTGATTTGTCATCTCTTCACATCGTGCTGGGGATGAGAGACTGGCAGCCTCTTTAATCCCAGCTCCGGGTGTCTCCTGTCTGGGATTAAGCCTCAGGGATGGATAGGTCGGGATTAGAGGCAGGCAGACAGAGTCAGACCTCAGATTAATATTTAATTAAAGCTTTCAGGGAACCAGGCTGTTATATTTAGGTGGTTTCTTACTTCTGGCATTTGTTTCTGCAGAGAATGCACATGGCACTGTATATATATGTTTTTATGTACATAGTAGACATAAAACACATTGGAGTAACACTGAACCCTTCCTAGCTTCTAAGCAGTAGATCTGTTAATGGTTCTAAACAGATTTAAATTAAGCGTTTATGTACACAAACAAGCCACCTGAATCATTTCTTCATGTATTTAAACAAGTAATAATGCACTACAACATGTGTAATCAAGTAAGATTCCTTTCACAATTTCCTAGAGACCCAATGAGTCTTCAGATTATTCATTTTGACAAAACATAACCCCCAAAATTGCAATTTACAACGTTATATAAGAAGATAAGAAGCAAATCCTGACATCAAAACAGATGCAAATGTATTTGCTGGTGCTCAGCTCATCAGTTAATCAGCTACCTGTGTTCACTAGTGATTGTTCAAAGAGGCCATGTTTGAATGCATTCGTACCCTCCTCACATTTGCTCTGTACTTTGGTTTGTTATTGGTAAACAAGCCTGCATGTCTCTGCTCCCTGTGTCAAAGCTCTGTGTGAGAAGGTGAACACCCTGGAGATCAGAGCTGCTTGCTTTAAAACAAGGACATAGCTTTCAGGAACGTGTTAGCAACGTTAGCTCACATAGATTGTGTGGTGAAATATTTGCAAACTGAGTATAAATCCTTGTTGTTAAAGTGCACCTACAGAAGCAGCAGCGAGTGTGGGGTCATGTGCTGGTCACTGCAGAGACAGGGACACACACTCTGCCAGGAAGACCTGCGTGCGCGCACACACACACACACACACACACAGTCCCACACTCCCGGTGTGGTCTTTATGCCCCATGGCATTCCTGATCGCTCTCTAAGGGATGTTTTTTCCCTTGAACTCCATCTCCTCGTTCATTTACCTCTCCCTCTCATGAACACAGTACAGGCCTTGTCTTGGGAGCTTTTGCATCGGCTCCACATTTGTCCTCTTAAAGCTGCATTCACAGTGGACGAAAGAAGAAAACATGGGAGAAGGCTTATTGTGTTAAATGGCTCATAACCGTCTTGTCTTGGCATAGCACGGCTGCTGCTCTGCCAGACCTGCGATGAATATAGTTTTTGCTTGTCTTGAGCGAAAACATTCCTTTAGACCTCACATGTCTTCAGTTGAAAACACAGAATTTGAAAACAAAGCTGCATTGAATATTGAACACTTACAACTGAACACATGTTCAACCACATCACACTTCTGTTATATTATGATCTTCTTCTGTGTTAGTTAAGGTATTAGCTCCACCAAGGAGGCTATGTTTTCTTAGGGTGTTTTTCATTTTGAATTCATGTTCACATTTTATGCAAAACCCTGAAATCGCACTCAAATAGTCCAAATTGTGTGCTTGCACTCAGATATTTTTTCACAAGAAAAAATCCAAATGCAGAGGAGACATCAGAGAATGGATGCACAGCAGCAGCATGAGCACAGGAAGCTGAAGCTGGAGCACAGAAAATCTGTAAGATACACAATATCTGACTGCAAGCTCACAATTTGAGCAGAACCATAGCGAATCTAAGTATATCAAGAGTGCAAGCACAGGGTTTTGAGTGAAAGCATCACAAAATCTGAACATTCAATCAATTTATTCCTGCTCCCAAACTGAAAGACCACGCTCTTTAATAATGATAGGATTGGTTTGTTGATTAGAAAGATTATACACAAACTACTGCATTCATTTCCATTAAACTTGGTGGAAGGTTGTTGTTGTTGGTTTTAAGAATCCATTAAATTTTGGTTCGGATCTGGATCAGTGGGCGGGTCTAGGATTCTTTTTTATCTCTTTCTTTAACATTGCAAAATAGAGAGCTTTGAAGCAGACTTCCCAGTCAATAATTCATCGATCTTGATAGAAATCCGCTATATTAAGGGGACTGATCAACGAGTGTGTACAGTTTGGTGCAGCTTGATTGAATTTAACTGGACCTTGGTGAGGTATGTGTTCAATGAGTGTATTTTTCTATCTAAAAGCCTTTTCCCCACTCAGACTGTTATTCATTATTTGAGCTTGACAATCAATAAGTGACGAGACAGAACATGGAGATTAGGTTATTTCATTTTTGCAGAAAAACAGTGTGGTGTGCTCTCCT